GCATAGGCCTGCCTGGTAGAGGGGGCGCTAGCCTGAGTGATAGTATCTATCACAGCCCGTGAGAGGCCAGTGAGGTCCGCCACTTCTCGTCCAGAAGCCAGACACGCAGGTTCAACTGATCGGGACGTGGGTGCCAAATAGTGCCCTGCTCCTGAGAAAGAAGGTCCTTCCTCAGGGGTATTCTCCAGGGAGGGGCTGTTGAGAGGAGCATGAGATCAGTCCGGGTGGGCTAATATGGTGCAACCAGCAGTACCTGCTCCTCGTTCTCCCTAATCTTGTACAGACTTTAGAGTCTGTGCAAGGAGGCACACTGGGTGAAAGGCGTACTTGCGCAAACCCTGGGGCCAGCTGTGTGCCAGTGCATCCGTGCCGAGGGGGACCTCGGTCAGGGAGTAGAACAGATGGCAGTGGGAGGATTCCTGGGAAGCGAACACGTCCAGCTGGGCTTCCCTGAATCGACTCCAAATCAGCCAGAACATCCTGGGGATGGAGTCTCCATTCTCCTGGAAGGGTAAGCTGTTATGAGAGCACATGAGGAACCTCTGAAATCGTTTCGTCCTTAGATTCTTGTCGGGGTGGAGCAGATGTTGACACCACAGGGGGGCGCCCTTGGTGACGGGCAGACAAAGAACCAGATCTCGGTGGTTTGGCAACCGGAGTGTCCCGCCAAGGCAAGATGTGCTTAATGGCCTCTATCTGCTTCTGGACTGCAGAGAACTGCTGGGCAAAGTCCTCGACAGTGTCACCAAAGAGACCGTAGTTCTTGTTGATCTTTCTTTCTTGAAAACATATGAGAAAGGCCCTTACGAAGCGATCGGCTCTGAAGCAAAAATCTGAATGAGTGGATGCACGCCGCCATCTTATATACCCGTATGTACGGGGAGGGGTTTTGTATTCAAATTCCACTCGCCACTTATCATTGCCTGTTGCTTGTAATGCTCAGAGGTGATTGGGGCTCTCAAGTGAGACCCCTAACGTCAATGTCGACGTAATGTCGAATGTGACTGACTGAAAGGGAACTAACTTTCACTGTGATTTTGTATGTCTCCTGATGCTGTTTCAGACACATCATTCTCATTTTTTTGTTATGGCTGGTCTACTTCTCAGGCTCTTGAAATAGGCTTTGCAGTCTTGGCACTTCTGTCTAAATCCTTGGCTCACATGTGTATGCGTTCATTTATTCATTAAAAATTTAAAACAGATGGAAATGCAAAAAAACCCACAAAAAAACTGAGTCAGTTCTTCTAAATGGGAGATTTACTAATAGTCACTCAGGAAAACATAACACGATGTCAAAACTTCATAATCTAGCCAAAAGAGATTAGAGAGAGAAACATGCACACATCTGAAATCAGCTTTATTCATTTTGCATTTAGACTTTTTTTGTAAATGAGACAGTCCTTAGACATCTCTATGGCCGGCTCTCAGCCATGCACATTCAGGTTAAAGAGATGCTCTTTGGTTAAAGAGATGCTTCTGGCTCAAAACATAGCTGAACCCTCACCAGATTTGGAAGAAAAGAAACAGACTCTAAATCTTGATTACCTAGTATTATGGTACAGAGATGACACAATGCCACCCATCTGTGCAGCCTGAAGGTTTTCATGTATCTACTATATATAACAGAATACCAATGATGGTCTGAAACATGCTTTGTATGTCATGGAGAAAAAGAATTGACTCAAAATATTTTTAAAAAGTTGTCAATAAATGAACAATCTTTTAAAAGCAACAGTTTTCAGTTACCAGTTCCTGTAGATTTTTTTTTAATCAGTCAATGATCCAGTGATGTTAAGAACAGGTTTTGAGGTTCTGAAATTCTCACTAAACTTTTCAAGAATGTTGTATTTAACCCAAAAATCAAATTAAATAAATAAATCTAAATTAGGTCAAATGAACCTTAATTTTAGTAGCATTAAGAATTTTAAGTTTTTATTACATATAAATTTTCACACACAAATGTATAACCAGCTCATCATCTAATCTTATTTAATCAAAAGTGCAGTATAAACAGTAATATTGTGTAATATTTCAGCTGAATTTTTTTATATGGCAAAGCTGAATTTTCAGCAGTCATTACTCCAGTCTTCAGTGTCAAATAATCCTTCGGAAATCATTCTAATATGCTGATTTGGTGCTCAAGAAACATTTCTTATTATTATCAATGTTGAAAACAGTTGTGCTGATTAATATTTTTGTGGAAACCATGATACATTCATGTATTTAATTAATTTATTTTGTAACATTATAAATGACTTTACTGTCACGTTCAATCAATTTAATGCATCCTTTCTGAATAAAAGTATTAATTTGTTTCACAAAAATCTTTCTGACATCAAACCTTTGAACAGTAGTGTATATAACAAATTCTAAATTTATATAATTTCTGTGGAAGATATAAAGGTATTAATGAATCTCACAAAGGCTGTTAAAACATACGAAATATGACCCAGACGTGTTCTTTGTTTCGTTTACATTATATACTTCATACACATTATCTCAGTCTTCGGATCTGTAGACTAAGCACGTGACTTTATTCTGCAAACTCAGTCTTATTTTTAGCAAGAGGAACACATTGTCTGTGTCAGCACTAAGCATGCATGTGTGCATAAGATTTCTTTGTGCACCCAGCTGTCATGGATTCAGAATCCGAATGTGGTTTTATCCTCCACTGATTTTATTGACAGGGTATCAAGCAAGCACCTGTAGATGACAGAGCCTTCCCTTTTTTTCAATTTTATTCATACATCCAACCTACGTTATCAAATTATTAACTTGTCTAAGTATTGTGTTTGCAGAAGTGCTGACCTGTCAGTATTTAATTTAAAAGTTTGTTTGGTTTGTGGCAGATTACACCAGGGAGCAAGTCAGCCTCCAGCAACCTGATTCAGGGTGACATCATCGTGGCAATTGATGGGGTCAGCACAGAGGGGATGACACACCTGGAGGCCCAAAACAAGATCAAGTCTGCCAACTTCAATCTGGCTCTCACCATGCAAAGGTACAGTGCATTGTTAGTGTTTTGCAGTGAGGTCCGCCACTTCTCGTCCAGAAGCCAGACACGCAGGTTCAACTGATCGGGACGTGGGTGCCAAATAGTGCCCTGCTCCTGAGAAAGAAGGTCCTTCCTCAGGGGTATTCTCCAGGGAGGGGCTGTTGAGAGGAGCATGAGATCAGTCCGGGTAGGCTAATATGGTGCAACCAGCAGTACCTGCTCCTCGTTCTCCCTAATCTTGTACAGACTTTAGAGTCTGTGCAAGGAGGCACACTGGGTGAAAGGCGTACTTGCGCAAACCCTGGGGCCAGCTGTGTGCCAGTGCATCCGTGCCGAGGGGGACCTCGGTCAGGGAGTAGAACAGATGGCAGTGGGAGGATTCCTGGGAAGCGAACACGTCCAGCTGGGCTTCCCTGAATCGACTCCAAATCAGCCAGAACATCCTGGGGATGGAGTCTCCATTCTCCTGGAAGGGTAAGCTGTTATGAGAGCACATGAGGAACCTCTGAAATCGTTTCGTCCTTAGATTCTTGTCGGGGTGGAGCAGATGTTGACACCACAGGGGGGGCGCCCTTGGTGACGGGCAGACAAAGAACCAGATCTCGGTGGTTTGGCAACCGGAGTGTCCCGCCAAGGCAAGATGTGCTTAATGGCCTCTATCTGCTTCTGGACTGCAGAGAACTGCTGGGCAAAGTCCTCGACAGTGTCACCAAAGAGACCGTAGTTCTTGTTGATCTTTCTTTCTTGAAAACATACGAGAAAGGCCCTTACGAAGTGATCGGCTCTGAAGCAAAAATCTGAATGAGTGGATGCACGCCGCCATCTTATATACCCGTATGTACGGGGAGGGGTTTTGTATTCAAATTCCACTCGCCACTTATCATTGCCTGTTGCTTGTAATGCTCAGAGGTGATTGGGGCTCTCAAGTGAGACCCCTAACGTCAATGTCGACGTAATGTCGAATGTGACTGACTGAAAGGGAACTAACTTTCACTGTGATTTTGTATGTCTCCTGATGCTGTTTCAGACACATCATTCTCATTTTTTTGTTATGGCTGGTCTACTTCTCAGGCTCTTGAAATAGGCTTTGCAGTCTTGGCACTTCTGTCTAAATCCTTGGCTCACATGTGTATGCGTTCATTTATTCATTAAAAATTTAAAACAGATGGAAATGCAAAAAAAACCACAAAAAAACTGAGTCAGTTCTTCTCAATGGGAGATTTACTAATAGTCACTCAGGAAAACATAACACGATGTCAAAACTTCTTAATCTAGCCAAAAGAGATTAGAGAGAGAAACATGCACACATCTGAAATCAGCTTTATTCATTTTGCATTTAGACTTTTTTTGTAAATGAGACAGTCCTTAGACATCTCTATGGCCGGCTCTCAGCCATGCACATTCAGGTTAAAGAGATGCTCTTTGGTTAAAGAGATGCTTCTGGCTCAAAACATAGCTGAACCCTCACCAGATTTGGAAGAAAAGAAACAGACTCTAAATCTTGATTACCTAGTATTATGGTACAGAGATGACACAATGCCACCCATCTGTGCAGCCTGAAGGTTTTCATGTATCTACTATATATAACAGAATACCAATGATGGTCTGAAACATGCTTTGTATGTCATGGAGAAAAAGAATTGACTCAAAATATTTTTAAAAAGTTGTCAATAAATGAACAATCTTTTAAAAGCAACAGTTTTCAGTTACCAGTTCCTGTAGATTTTTTTTTAATCAGTCAATGATCCAGTGATGTTAAGAACAGGTTTTGAGGTTCTGAAATTCTCACTAAACTTTTCAAGAATGTTGTATTTAACCCCAAAATCAAATTAAATAAATAAATCTAAATTAGGTCAAATGAACCTTAATTTTAGTAGCATTAAGAATTTTAAGTTTTTATTGCATATAAATTTTCACACACAAATGTATAACCAGCTCATCATCTAATCTTATTTAATCAAAAGTGCAGTATAAACAGTAATATTGTGTAATATTTCAGCTGAATTTTTTTATATGGCAAAGCTGAATTTTCAGCAGTCATTACTCCAGTCTTCAGTGTCAAATAATCCTTCGGAAATCATTCTAATATGCTGATTTGGTGCTCAAGAAACATTTCTTATTATTATCAATGTTGAAAACAGTTGTGCTGATTAATATTTTTGTGGAAACCATGATACATTCATGTATTTAATTAATTTATTTTGTAACATTACAAATGACTTTACTGTCACGTTCAATCAATTTAATGCATCCTAAAGAGATGCTTCTGGCTCAAAACATAGCTGAACCCTCACCAGATTTGGAAGAAAAGAAACAGACTCTAAATCTTGATTACCTAGTATTATGGTACAGAGATGACACAATGCCACCCATCTGTGCAGCCTGAAGGTTTTCATGTATCTACTATATATAACAGAATACCAATGATGGTCTGAAACATGCTTTGTATGTCATGGAGAAAAAGAATTGACTCAAAATATTTTTAAAAAGTTGTCAATAAATGAACAATCTTTTAAAAGCAACAGTTTTCAGTTACCAGTTCCTGTAGATTTTTTTTTAATCAGTCAATGATCCAGTGATGTTAAGAACAGGTTTTGAGGTTCTGAAATTCTCACTAAACTTTTCAAGAATGTTGTATTTAACCCAAAAATCAAATTAAATAAATAAATCTAAATTAGGTCAAATGAACCTTAATTTTAGTAGCATTAAGAATTTTAAGTTTTTATTACATATAAATTTTCACACACAAATGTATAACCAGCTCATCATCTAATCTTATTTAATCAAAAGTGCAGTATAAACAGTAATATTGTGTAATATTTCAGCTGAATTTTTTTATATGGCAAAGCTGAATTTTCAGCAGTCATTACTCCAGTCTTCAGTGTCAAATAATCCTTCGGAAATCATTCTAATATGCTGATTTGGTGCTCAAGAAACATTTCTTATTATTATCAATGTTGAAAACAGTTGTGCTGATTAATATTTTTGTGGAAACCATGATACATTCATGTATTTAATTAATTTATTTTGTAACATTATAAATGACTTTACTGTCACGTTCAATCAATTTAATGCATCCTTTCTGAATAAAAGTATTAATTTGTTTCACAAAAATCTTTCTGACATCAAACCTTTGAACAGTAGTGTATATAACAAATTCTAAATTTATATAATTTCTGTGGAAGATATAAAGGTATTAATGAATCTCACAAAGGCTGTTAAAACATACGAAATATGACCCGGACGTGTTCTTTGTTTCGTTTACATTATATACTTCATACACATTATCTCAGTCTTCGGATCTGTAGACTAAGCACGTGACTTTATTCTGCAAACTCAGTCTTATTTTTAGCAAGAGGAACACATTGTCTGTGTCAGCACTAAGCATGCATGTGTGCATAAGATTTCTTTGTGCACCCAGCTGTCATGGATTCAGAATCCGAATGTGGTTTTATCCTCCACTGATTTTATTGACAGGGTATCAAGCAAGCACCTGTAGATGACAAGCCTTCCCTTTTTTTTCAATTTTATTCATACATCCAACTTACGTTATCAAATTATTAACTTGTCTAAGTATTGTGTTTGCAGAAGTGCTGACCTGTCAGTATTTAATTTAAAAGTTTGTTTGGTTTGTGGCAGATTACACCAGGGAGCAAGTCAGCCTCCAGCAACCTGATTCAGGGTGACATCATCGTGGCAATTGATGGGGTCAGCACAGAGGGGATGACACACCTGGAGGCCCAAAACAAGATCAAGTCTGCCAACTTCAATCTGGCTCTCACCATGCAAAGGTACAGTGCATTGTTAGTGTTTTGGAGGTGTGTGTGTGTGTATAACTGTTCAAAAGTTTGAGATCACTAAGATTTGTTTATTGTTTTTTTATGTTTTTGAAAGCAGTCTCTTATGCTCACCAAGACTGCATTTATTTGATCAAAAGTGCAGTCAGAACAGTAATATTGTGAAATATTATTACAATTTAAAATATCTGTCCTGATTGAAATGAGACCAGGAAGTTTTGCTCAAGGAAAACATCCCAGGATGATTCCCGTTTAGGTTTCTTCCATTCTGGTGAACGTAATAAAATGATGATCTGCCATGTTTACACTGTGATGCTATTTAATCTGTCTTGGCGACCATAAGTTTGTAACGCTCTGTATCTGCACTGACAACTCTGGGGCAGCCTAGTTTTTCTCATCCTCTTGTGTGGTCTGTCAATTCTGTAGCTACAAGCAAATTATTAATTTAAGTAATTATAGTGAATACAGATGATAGCGGGTCTCATGGGTTACTGTGATGTAGATGCTATTGTTGGCTCATTCACTGCAGTGTAATAAAAGTAGGCCTTGACTGTTCAGTGTAGTCAATCATGGGATTAATTTTTTATGAACCGTAAACAGACTGCAGCTTCATTATATCACAAACATATGTGACCAAGATTTTATGTGGGTTCAGATGAGCTCTGTATGTGTTTAGCCAAGGAAAGGTCATGTGATTTTATTGCCTTCATGTTAGTTGAAAAAGAAGACATAAAGAGTTAAGACATAAACTCGCTGGTTTTATCAGATCAGACTGGCTGCTGATTCATGTTACTCATTTTCAGCATTACTAGACAAGCGTCCTATAGCCAAGCATCCACACATTTAAAAAGCTCTTCAAAACAGACAATGAATATCATGCACTCAGAAGCTGGAGCTTCTAGAATCTTTCTTCACAGCCTCTGGCGAGTGTCCATTCATCCATTGGCAACCTCATACACCAATTAACTTGATAAGCTATTTTCTTTTTGCCTTGTGCTCCAACTCAAGGCTGCCCAGCACTGACACAGTATAGCTTTAAACAAGGTTACATTCACACTGCAGTTGATCTGGATCACTTTCTTATTCTTATATGGATATGATTTTCGAACTTTTCAGTTAGATCGGAGTTCATGCAACTTTATTTACATTCATTTAACTAGCTCTGTATTCATCTTAATTGTATGCTAGATTTACCAATTAAATTAATGCATGAATTGCACTGCGTGAAGTATTACACTGAAAGGTAATAAATAAAGGGGGAAAAGCATTTAAAAAACATATTGATGCACTTTAAGTGTAAAAATATATGCTACCATTCAGTAAGATTTTTATTCAGCATGCATTCAGGATGCATTTTAAATAGATGCTGTTTTTCTCATCACTTTGACACTTTATATTCATCAAAGAATCCAAAAGAAAAAAGTTCAATATGTTAATATTTTTGAAAAAGTAATTGATCATGTTTCTTGAGCACCAAATCGACATATCAGAATGATTTCTGAAGGACCATGTGACTCTAAAGGCTGAAATAATGGAAATAAATTATATTTTAAAATGCAAATAGAAAAAAAATAATTAAAATTGCTAATATTTCACATAGGGATGCAGTGATTAACCGGTTTCGCGATTAACCACGCTTTTAATCCTCACGGTTAATTAATCGTAAAGGTTCCGCTAAACCGAGTGTTTCTGTTACACGGAATGCAACTGTTGCAGCTTGCGCAAACGAAAACAAAGTTACACTAGTGATGCACCAGCTTAAAATGACGTGCTTATCAGAGGCACGGAAGCTAATACATGCATTATATTAACTGTGACAGAGTGACCAAACAGCGAAGCTTTATTTCCACCAGAGAAATGCCTGTCGATAGTGTGGGACCATTTTGGGTACACCAAGAATGACCAGGGTGTCATTTAAACCCTGGTAGTGTATATACTGATGCCAAATAATGTTTTTCACTTGCTTTAAACATTGGCAGTAGAAACTAAAATGTTAATGCTAATGCATTAGCAGTTTTCAAACTGGAAGACTGGAAGAAGTTCTAATATCTTATTTCAAGTAACAAAATATGATATATTACATTATGAAATGTGTTGATGGTGTTATGATGAACATGACAGGCTAGATGTGTGTTACGTGATTGTTTAGACAGTGTCTGGCATGGGCCACATTTAAAAGATCATGTAAATAGCTTCATATGTTAACAGCATCAGATTTGAGCTGAAAAAGTCATAATTGGGACACATTGAAGGCTCTTGGGTAAAGTGCTCAACTAATCAAAAGAGTGGATTGAAGGATATCTGTCATTTATTCTAGGCATGTAGTACAAATATCAATTATCAATAGATGAAGCTTCAGATTACTAAGAAAAATCTCTTTTTTCATTTATTTGTAGCTTTCTGTGTTATGTTTGATTCAGAGGAAGTGGCATGCTTGGGTTAGTGTATCTCCCTCATGGACAATATCTGCACCAGTCATCTGTGAAATACATGAAATATATGAGTTTGTAAAAACATCCTTGATCTCGCCAGTTCAGGTTACAATTCTGATGTGTCTTATTTCTTAAGTCAGGTTTACTGTTAGTTCACTTTATCATGAGCAAAGCCCCAAAAAAGGCATGTTCACCTTTTATGTCCCCTCTTTGAGCATACCTGCAGGGATTACACTGGACTATCCTTCCTTTGCTTTAACACTCTTAATAGATCCCAGAGTTCCCTCGGCAAGGGTTGTTGTTGTTGTTGTTGTTATAAAGTAGACACGTAGGGTGATATAGACTTTAACATTTGTCAAGATACGTTATTTACTTTGTCGTCAACCTCTACTGTGTTCAAGGACTTCTCTTGTGTCAATTGTTCTTTGCTCTTTTTGCAAAAATTTTCAAACAATGTGCACTATAAAGTATGTTCGTTTTTTCTCTTTTCTCTTTTTAACTTTTGTGTACAAGGCAAGTAATGTTTTGATTTTTGTTCTTCTGAAAAGGTTCAATTTGGCACAAAATCTGTTTGGACAAAAGCATTTTTCTGATAGCTGCAAAAAAAGAAAAAGTTCTTGTCTTTTTGCTACAAGATTGTATATGGCTGCATCATGTATCTAGAACTGTGTGTGAGATGTTTATAGTTCACCACTGGACATTGCAATTTTGTCATAAAAGATGTGATCCAGACAGTCTGTCTTTTACTTCAAATGTTTACTCAATTTTATCACAGGTCAAAGCGACCCACTCCAGTTCCCATGACAACACCAAGGATTGACTCCCCTATGCCTGTGATCCCCCATCAGAAGGTCTGTCACACGTTACTCATGCACCACTCACTGGCATGCATTCTACATACATCTACACACAGTATATGTCTATGCATTCAGATATTTTAAGTCCATATTGAATGTCCACATTACATTCCAATTAGAGAAAGTATAATTTAGGCCTCAGAGCAAGCTTCGGCTGAAGTCCACAGTTAAAAGGGAATTTTTTATAGGATTATGTTAAAGATTCTTTTTAGAGGGTAATATAATAGATTCTGGTCTTTGGTTCTACCTTAATTCAGGATGCCTTTATCATGTATGATATGATAATAATATACAAATGTTCTGCTCTATGTAAAAAGCCTTATGATGCCCCCTGCTGGTTTTCACTTTGCATACTCGGCAAAAAGTTAACAGCATTGTTAATGTAATGCTGTTAACAATTAGTTTGGCATTTCATTAAAATATTGTGTTAGTCACACAAAAGAAAAGCTCGTAAAGCCTCTGTTTCAAAACCCTGATTAGTACATACACATTCAAAAACATACTTACTCAGCAAAGATGCAATACATTATCAAAAGTCACAGTGAAGACATTTATAAAATTTCATAGTTGATCACGGATTCCACAAAAATATTAAGCAGCTGTTTTCAACATTGATAATAATAAGAAATGTATCTTGAGCATCAAATTAGAATGATTTCCGGAGGATCATGTGACACTGAAGACTGGAGTAATGGCTGCTGAAAATGCAGCTTTTCCATCAAAATAAATTTAATTTTAAATGTATAATAAAATAAGAAACAGTATTTACTGTGTTTTGATCAAATAAGTGCAGTCTTGGTGAGCAAGATGTCTTAAGAGACTTTTAAAAATCTATAAATCTTTTTGAATGGTAGTGTACAAACTCATATTATGTTTAAGAATGTAAAGAATAAGTTGTTTCATCAAAAAATTAGCCATTTCCCACCTTCATGTGGTTACAAATCAATATGATCAGACTTTCTTCTGTTTCAACAAAAAGGAGGTATTTTTTTCTAAATGTCCTTCCTGTTCTTCATTTTAATGAATACAAAATATGAGCTATAAAGCTTTAAAATAAACATTCTGCGAAAAAATAATAAAATGTTTTTCAAACAACACAAGGGTGCATACTGTAAATTATGACTGAATTACATTTTTTGGGGGGTGAACTATTCCTTTAGCTTTCAGTAAAACATCAAGTCATCAGTTTTCAAATTAATTTACACAGTTTACGTAGTGTGAACAGTTAAATTGTTATCATTCTAAGCTTTCCTCTGATCAGCTCCTTCTGTTCTTTCTTTCTCAACACTGTCCACACACATGCACGTTCCCCTTTAAGGATCAGCCTTTGCAAATGAATGGGGCCCTCTCAACTTCTGCTGAGACAAACTCTAGCTACTCAAGCAAGCACACCAACCAGTCCTATAGCACTGTGGTGAGCAGTAGCAGAGAAGCTTCTGTTCCTGCTCAAAGCCATTTAGCTGCTCCGAGGGACAAATCCACCTCCGGGCAAAAAAGCCAGCAGTATAACTCCCCCATCGGTCTGTACTCTGCAGAGACATTGCGAGAGATGGTCATGCTGCAAGAGAGGGTTAAGAGCTCGGGGTCAGGCATGCCTAGTTGGTATGTAATCATAGATCTGACGCTAGCAGCCAGGTGCAGTAAACCTTAACCAATCCTATTTAAGAAATATAGTGTTTATTGCTAAATTAACAGTTTAGAATTTCTAAAAGAGGTTAGAATTAGTGGGTCGGTTATAGTTCAGCCCCACCTGGCTGCTAACGTTGCTCTTGACAGAAGAATGACAGCAGCCATGCAACATTCAGAAAAGAGAGGTTACATCTGTTACATTGACCCTATCCCCCACTGGCCTTAGCAGGCCAGAGGAGGATCTAGTTAAAGCTTCAAGCCTCTGAAGGAATGTGCAAGACAAATTTGTGCTGAGGCTTCAGTTGGAAGCGGCCCTCTTTCAGGTACAGTGATCATGTAATACCAGATAATACATCCACCAGAGGAGTTAGATTGAAAAAATTTGCTGTCAAAATGGAAAATACAATACCGTTCAAAATTCTGGGGTCAGTAAGATTTGTTTTTTGTTTTTTGGAAGAAATTAATACCTATTAATTATATTTAGCAAGGATGCATTAAATTGATCAAAAGTAACTGTAAATACATGTATAATGTTCCAAAAGATTTCTATTAAAAAACAAAAAATGCTGTTCTTTTGAACTTTCTATTTATCAATGAATCCTGAAACAAATTTTATTAGGTTTCCACAAATATATTAAGCTGCACAACTGTTTTGATAATAGTAAGACACTGATGATAATAAGACATTTTCACCAAAATATCATATCAGAATGATTTCTGAAGGATCATGTGACACTAAAGACTGGAGAAATGGCTGCTGAAAATTAAGTTTTGCCATCATAGGAATAAATTACATTTTAAAATATATTAAAATAGAAAACAGTTATTTTAAATTGTAATAATATTTCACAATTTTACTGTATTTCTGATCAAATGAATGCAGCCTTGGTAAGCATAAGATACTTTTTTTCAAAACCTTTTAAAAATCAGACAAACTTTTGAAAACAGACCCCCTTTTAGAAAACAGACCCTAGATTTGTATCTGCATAAATTCATGTTCTGATAAGCAAAGCAAGCTGTTGTATTGAGACAATAAATGCACCATATCACTTTCCCAGTTTGACAGTTTCACTTCTGTGTTTTAACCTCAAAGCAATGCACTTTGGCAGTACTGTGGTGGATTAGGTAAATGGACGACAATGTCCTGTACCCCTCTCCATTTACTCACTTCCTCAAATGCGGTGAAAAGGGTCTTAGCGTGTGCCTCAGCACAGAGGAAATCTCAGGCTATCCAGTGGTACGGATAGAGACGGGTGAGAATGCACCTGTCGGCTCTCCCTATAAAAGGTCATGGAATTTCAGGGTTCAGTTTCCTAACTACACTGATACAACCCCACCCCCCTCACTCCCTCCTGTCACATTTTGCCAGTTGTGGTCAGTGACGCATCTTTCACCTTCAGTTATTTATTTATTTGCCTCTTTGAAAGGCGACTTGCTACTATGTGCACAAACACGTCATATCACTCATGCCAAACACACACACACATTGGTGTGTAATTTCTGTGTCACAAGCAGAATTTGTCTATTTGAGCAGCCCGACTGGGTCAATGTTGGGTCAACCAGTGGCTTGTGTTTAGGGCAGGACATCCTGTGGAAGACAGGAAGTGTTTGAGCAGGCATTATTTGTACAATTCTGAAATTACACACTGCACCTTGAAAATCTGATGAGATTCCTCATCTTGAAGAACTTTCACTGGCACAACCAGTGTTAAGTTTATGTGAGTTGCTAACCAATGCCCTTGTTTCTGTTTCCTTTCGCCCATTGTAGGTTATTACCAACAGTCCTGCCAAGTTAGTAACAGCCTCCTGGAATAACGTTGTAGTGCTCTGTGTGGTATACGTGCATGGTATTGTTTGGAACTGCCTTTGTGGTATAAAATGTGGTTAGTGAGATTTGTCATCCTGTGCAATCACAGCTTGCTTTAATGATGTACTAATGCTTAATGTAAACCTATACTACAACACAGAGAAGCATATCAGAATCTTTGGAATATGTTATTATGAGAATCCCAGTTGGCACTGTGATACAGTGTGTGTTTTAGGAGACTCAAGAGGTTTGCTTGTTGAACTCATGTTAAGCTTTGAGAATATGTTTATCCTAATTTGATTGGCCTTCGTTAGGCACTTATCAGTTAGTATACTCGTTGTGTTTGGGTTGGGAATCAAGAACTGTTTCTTATGCTGCGTTCACACCATGTCGTAATTACCTCATTTACTAGATGACAACCCGGGACTATTAGTTGTGTACACTACTAACGGCAAAATTAATGTGTGTCATTTCAGTAATCAATAGATAAAACCACAATATAACAAGTAAAAGTCATTAATCAAAGGCCGTATTAATAATAAGTATAGTTTATAGTTAATTATTTAGTGGGATATTGGTTATTTAACTCTTTGATAGCTACATTAAATTGTATTTTATCTCTATTATTTTCCGATTATTCGTGCATTATTAAGACATTTAATAATAATGAGTTATAGGGATTATTAAACAGAATTATTCTGAAATAATTGCATAACTATTTTACTGCTGAAGCCCTTGCTATTTTGAGTGTTTCTGCACGATGATGTGGTGGTCATGTGGTACAAGTTGTAAGAGTACAAGTCTTAACTACTGTAATTCCGACAATTGAATTCCATTTGTTAAATTATGTCCAGTTCTGTTAACAGTTCTTGCACATATATGCGCGCTGAAGCCCTTGCTATTTTGAGTGTTTCTGCACGATGATGTGGTGGTCATGTGGTACAAGTTGTAAGAGTACAAGTCTTAACTACTGTAATTCCGACAATTGAATTCCATTTGTTAAATTATGTTCTGTTAACAGTTCTTGCACATATATGCGTTACTGTACTGTTAATCTTTTACAAGAATTGTTGAACATTTATTAATTTATTCAAATCATCTTGGCATCCTTTTTTTTCAAATATTTATTTGTTGAAATTACTAAAGGAATCACTAAAAGAGCTGTTGAGGAACTGGAATGGTTAAGAGGAATTAGAATCAGGAATTTAAATTCTAGCTGATTCCCATCCCTGTTTAGTATATTATGTTGTACTGCTTCTTGTAGTTATACATACAATAAGTAATTGTATGTGTTGTGTGCCGTAGTAAGTTTTTGCTGTGAAGCGTGTTTTTGATGTCTTGTTTCTGCCTTAAAAATTAGACTGAACCTTTTATTTATTTATTTATTTATTTACCTATTTAATTATTATCATATTATGGTTTAACTAATTTTGTCTCACCTGTAACACTTTCCATCATGAATTTCCATGCTGGTCCAGAATTGGTCGACCAGCATGGTTTTTCTGGTGGTTAATCCAATCAAGAAGCTTTGTTGAAATACCAGCACGCCAGCATCCAGAACACAACATATGCTTATATTATCAACTTGGTTCTTACCTTTCCCTCCCAATTCACTGTTCACATACTCTTCATCTCACTCTCTCTGTCTAACCTCCCTGTTATCTCTCTTGTCTCTCTTCTACCCATACTCATCCCTTATCACCACTCCCTCACTTGTACAGTAATGAATACCTGCCCAGCTTCAACCCAATAGCTCTGAAGGACACTGCACTCTCCACCAACAAACCCATTGAAGTTAAGGGGCCTGGAGGCAAGGCCACCATCATCCATGCGCAGTACAACACCCCCATCAGCATGTACTCCCAGGATGCTATTATGGATGCCATTGCTGGCCAGTCCCAGGCCAGGGGTAGCGAGCTGTCTGGGTAAGACCTGTCGCACCTAACTGTGTCTTCTCCCTCCTCCCATGAACTGCATGACACACGTTTGCCATAATGCCTGTCAAACAGCCACGCTTGTCTCGGCCAGCGCTATCTGCTAATGCTCAAGAGGCTAAAGACTTCCTAAGGATGTCGGATCATAGTCTGGATATAGTCTTATTCTTCCTCGGTTTCACAGTATTGATCTGATGATGATGTAAATCGAAGGTTTTCGAAGTCTTCAGTGGTAGCATATGTTATGTTGAGTTTCTGTGGATTCAGCTGGATTTTTGTGTGGTTTTCAAATGGGAATGATGATGAGAATGCTCAGTTAGGGATCCTGGTTTATGGGCGAACTACCCTTCAAAAGTTTCGGCTCAATTGTTTTTAAAGAAATTATTATTATTATTTCAGAAAGGGCGCATTTAATTGATCAGAAGTGACAGTAAAGACATTTAAAATGTTACAAAAGATTTCTATTTCGATTATCTTTCTATTAAAGATTTCTATTTCTATTATAAGTGCTTTTCATTTGAACTCTATTCATCGAAGAATCCTAAAAATCATAGTTTCCACAAAAATATTAAGCAGCACAACCTGTTTCAATATTGATAATAATAACAAATGTTTCTTGAGCAGCACATTATCAGATTAGAATGATTTCTGAAGAATCATGTGACACTGTAGACTGGAGTAATGATGCTGAAAATTCAGTTTTGCCATCTCAGGAAAAAATTATATTTTAAAATGTTAAAATATAAAAAATTGTAATAATATTTTACAATATTACTGTTTTTACTGTATTTTTGATTAAATATGTGCAGCCTTGGTGAGCATAAGATACTTTTTTCAAAAACATTAACAATCTCACCGACTCCAAACTTTTGAAAGGCAGTGTGTGTTTTGATAGTGTGACTTGGTAATCTGTACTGGTGTGAGTTGTGTATTTGTGCACTTTTTCTGCTGTATATCCATGAGTTTAGCAGTGATCTATACATATTTTTATGTTTGTTGGTGCCAGTTTTCTGATGTCCTGTGGTTTTTGTATGGTTTTAAATCATGAAAATGAGAGATCAGGCTTTCGGTCTTATGTCAGAAGCCACTCTCTAATGCATAACATAGAAGCTTTATCTAATTTTCCCTCTCTCACTCCAATCCTTTCATCCATCACTTCATCTGTCCATTACACTGTACATCATGTACCCGGTCCCCACCCTACCTGTGTCCAATCTCAATGGCCCTGCCTGGCAGCAATGAAACTGACTCTCCGCTATCGTAAGTACCCTGATCCATCAGTTTGATATGAGCAGTCTCATTTCGTCTCTTCCCTTGCGCATTGCATGCCTGATCACCACATTATCCTTTTCTCTCTCATCTCTCTGTCTAACCTGCCTTTGATTGATCTGGAGCATCTGGAGTTCTGAAATGCACCTGGTTTTCATGAGCCGAGACTGTGACTTTTGAAATAGTTGTATTTTGTCTTTTTATTTAGCCGAATGCAACAATGACCTCACATACTACTCTTTTTGTTCCTCTCAGACTGCACCTTTCACTTGCCTTTTAAATTCTATTCTGAAACCCTTAATATTGCTGCTAGGTGACTTTAAGAGTATTTGGTGGAAACATGTTTAAATGGTGAGGTTTACAGGAGGGTCTGCTAATGTGGAAACAGAGTTTTAGATGCCAACAAACAGATTTCTGAATGCTCTGCTCTGTCATTCTTCTGGGTAAGAGATATAATGTGTCTAAAATATGCTGTCATACTGCATTTGGTAGTGATAAGCAAGCTTCTGGCCACAATGCCCATGCTTTTCTTTTTATTAACACTTATATGAAATATGCTGCATAATATTCATTGACTTGTATAAAATCATCAGTGTTAACAAACATATGTTACGCTGTACACTGTAAATTAGTGATAATGGCAGTAAATTAATCAGAATGGATGCATGTACATCCCGGTGCATTATCTATACAGTTTTAACTTTAAAAAACAACAACAATAACAAAAGTGTTTTTAATGTCATTAAACATGAAAATACTTTTGCTAACATTCCGGTCCTGCTGATAGGAAAGTGTGTGTTTTCAAGCGACCGGCTCTTTCTGTGGTTGCAGTAATCTGCCAGTTAAAGACCGTGTTATAGACAGTGCTTCCCCAGTGTATCAGGCCGTCATCCCCAGTGAAACTGATAAACTAGAGCCGGCTGATTGGGCCAAAAGAGCCGCCCAGCTGCAGTCCAAGTCCTTCCGTGTCCTCGCCCACATTACTGGAACTGAATACAGTAAGTCTGCCTTCATGTTTTTGTCACTTTGCTTTTGTTTTGATATAGATTTTGATTTACAGTGTAGAGTCTGACTTGTTCTCTCTTTGTCTTTTCTCTTCTCCTCTCCTCTGCAGTGCAAGACCCTGATGAGGAAGCTCTAAGAAGATCAAGGTAGGCATCTAGCAGCAGCATCTGGTGGCCACATACTTGACCTGTGCTGAAATCCAGCCCCTCTGCCTCTTAAACCTTTGAAAGGCTGATCGAAAAGCTGACATATGATCAGATCCCCCAACCAGACCCCCAAAATCAGACACCACTCTCTGTGCTGAACTTGTTTCACACTCATTAGATGCATCAATCTAATACAGCTTGTATGTATTCATAGTAGACTGTATCAGGGGTGTAGTACAGAGGATTTTAACTTTTGTTAAAGAGACTGTTACTTGGTAAAGTTTGGGTGCTGAAATATAAGAATATGTACCTGAAATATAAAAATATTTATACTTAATTGAAAGCTTTCACATTTAATTGTACATTAACTTTTACTTATTTTATTTAGAATTAGACGTTGCATTACAAAATGCTTGCTAAACCTGTCTTTGCAAAACTATATGTGACCCTGGAGCACAAAACCAGTCTTAAGTCGCTGGGGTATATTTTTAGCAATAGCCAAAAAACATTGTATGGGTCAAAATTATCGATTTTTCTTTTATGCCAAAAATCATTAGCATATTAAGTAAAGATCATGTTCCATGAAGATATTTTGTACATTTCCTACCGTAAATATATCAAAACCTAATTTTTGATTAGTAATATGCATTTCTAAGAACTTCAGTTGGACAACTTTAAAGGCAATTTTCTCAGTATTTAGATTTTTTTGCACCCTCAGATTCCAGATATTCAAATAGTTGTATCTCGGCCAAATATTGTCCTATCCTAACAAACCATATGGAAAGCTTATTTATTCAGCTTTCAGATGATGTATAAATCTCAATTGATTGTGAAAATTGAATTAGAGAAAATTGACACTTATGACTAGTTTTGTGGTCCAGGGTGACATATACAATCTTTCAAATTGGATGTGCAAATAACATAGCATAAACCCAGTTACTTGATGGTAAGGGTTTTGAAATTATTATCCATACAACCCTGGAGCAAGCCCCACCTACAGGAATTACGTATTGCAAAACTAGAAGTTCATCCACCTTGAAAAGTGACCCCAAAAGGGCAACAAACATTTTTACTACATAGTGTAGTAAAAATAAAACTGGAGTGAAAAGGTGAAAGGGCATTCATAATTACAATTATTAAAGTTGTGATATGTATTTTGAGATGTGAAGATTTTCTCTAAATATTTATAATTGAGTATTTAGTTTAAGTTGTACCTGAGTACAAGCATAAATTCCTAAAATTCATAAATTACTACTTATTAATGTTATTACTACATTAGTAAGGGTGTACAGTTACTTAAATACTGTACTTTACACCCCCGGTCTGTGGTACTTACATCAAGCTTTATATTTCATATATCTTTAGCTCTCATTTATTTCACACTGTCATTACTTATCTGACACAATACAATGCAGAATGTGACCTCTGGCATTTAGTTACTTGAACATTTTAGCTCAAGGCAGCCACATTTGTATACACTCATATCTTGGGCAGGGAAGTGAAGGCCATATTCCCTAACCCATTTCTCCACCCTCTCTTTTCTCTTTTTTTCCTTCCCCTTTTGTCTTGTATATATGTCTTGATGTTACAGGGAAAAGTTTGAATCTGAAGCCAAAGGCCCTCGTTTTGCCAAACTGAAAAACTGGCACAATGGCCTGTCGGCACAAATACTTAATGTGCCTCAGTAAAGCACCCCAAGACAGAGAGAGCTAGACAGGTGGCATAGACAGAATGCAGTACTGCTTTAACAGGAAAGTCAAAGCATGTGAGAGGAAAGCAGAAAGAATGAAGATGAATGTCAATTATGTTGTTTGGCTCATCACTACAGTTTCAAGCTAGTTGTTCACTCTATAGTATAGATTTAGGAATTGTTCATAAGAGTGTTGCCACCATTTAAATTCTCTCTCTTGTATCAGATTGTTTGCTTACATATTGATGATTGTTGAGAACATCATTGCATCTGTGCACAAGTCTTTTAAATCCATCAAATAAAAGAAATGTGATGAACTAATCATGTTGAAATGCTTTTTGACACTGAGATTTGTTTATGCATGGATTCAAAAGATGTCTACAGAAAGGAAATTAACTTTAAACTTTGTATTAAATATTGTTCTTTAAAAATGCCCTAATATTACTATTTAGATATATAGCCTATAGCCTGATAACTTTTTTTCTTGTGAAAAGGCTGGAAGTAATCATTCCCATTTTATTCTTGGCCATAAGTTCACAAAGAAGCCGCTCTGCTTTTTAGAATGTGATCTGTGGTTCTCAGCAAGGGGGCCAAGTTCTTGGCAAACTTGTTTAAAATGATTTATTTTAATGATTTAAAACTAATTTTTTTAAATGAAGTTTAGCATTTTAAGAGTTACATTTATTGGAATATCCAATAAATGTAACTCTTTTAAAATGCTAAAACATGTATGTGTGTATATATATTTGTATGTATACAGTATGTGTGTGTGTAATGAAGGTGTAGAACCATCTCAAGGATGATCAGAAGAAATGGACAGCACCTGAGTTAAATATATGAGTGTCACAGCAAAGGGTCTGAATACTTAGGACCATGTGATATTTCAGTTTTTCTTTTTTAATAAATCTGCAAAAATGTCAACAATTCTGTGTTTTTCTGTCAATATGGGGTGCTGTGTGTACATTAATGAGGAAAAAAATGAACTTAAATGATTTTAGCAAATGGCTGCAATATAACAAAGAGTGAAAAATTTAAGGGGGTCTGAATACTTTCCGTACCCACTGTATATATATATATATGTATGTCTCCCCTCAATAACATTTTTTTTTATTGGAGAACATACAGAATCAGAACATTGAATCTTCTGGAATCACAAAATTAATTAAATAAAAAATTGCATTTAAATTTTAAAACATTTATTTAAAAAAATTGAAAGCAAGCAGTGTTGTCATAATTACGTCAGAAATACCAGAGGAAATATCTTAGGCATGATGATACACTGGGCAAACTTAAATGATTTTAGCAAATGGCTGCAATATAACAAAGAGTGAAAAATTTAAGGGGGTCTGAATACTTTCCGTACCCACTGTATATATATATATATGTATGTCTCCCCTCAATAACATTTTTTTTTATTGGAGAACATACAGAATCAGAACATTGAATCTTCTGGAATCACAAAATTAATTAATTAAAAATTGCATTTAAATTTTAAAACATTTATTTAAAAAAATTGAAAGCAAGCAGTGTTGTCATAATTACGTCAGAAATACCAGAGGAAATATCTTAGGCATGATGATACACTGGGCAACTTTGGGAAATGTTGCCGTCAATGGGCAACCAGGTGAGACACAGGGCCCACGACCGATCTAAAATATCCAGATAGAAACATGTTACCCATTCTCAATGGAAAAGTGCCCAGGCAAAATTGCTCAAAAAGTTGCCCCGTGTATCATCAGCCTTAGACAGAATGGGGGGCCTTTGAATAATATTTTGGACAATGGGGATCCTTGAACCACTGAATTAGATAATTTGTTATTTGACCTTTTTCTGTGTAGATCTAAGAATCTAAACTTTTGATTCTGTGATAGCATTTCAGTGATTACGTAGGGCAGGGTTGTTTAAAAAGTTTAGCAAATGTTGAAATCGCTTGCACATGCAGTCAGTTTTATTCCAGGAGTAATTTCTTATCTGTTGAAAAGCTAAATCCTGACATACAGTAAAAGCTTTCGCTTTAGACCAAACTTCAAATCACCAACACTATTATCTCTTTGAAGATTTTTTTTTTCCGTTGATGTTCTGAACTTGTCAGACATTTCTTACTTAAGCCTGTGGTTAAATATTAGACTGCCTAGGGGTTTCAAGTGATAAGGATGTTGATCTGTCAGTCAGTTGTCTAACTTTGCATTGGTCTGGGATCAGAGTGGAAAAATGTTGTTACTCTGACAGATCACTATTTTAGAATCCTATGGTTCTATTTTGAGAAAATGAGGCTGTTAGTAAGACATTACGGTGGGAGTGTACATTTTATTTGTGTAGGAAGAGTAATAACCCTTAGCTAGATGAGTGGTGGCTGAAGGGACAAGCTCTGTGTCTGGAGGATGAGCGAAGGCGCGTGAAGGCATCAGAACTTCAAGCGGTTGAGCATGATGGATGTCAATGTCTGTGAGTAGAGAGAGAGTCTATAAACCAGGACTTTTTCTCCAGGTAATTATGCCTGTCTGGTTCTCACATAGGGAAATGGTGTTAGCACTGCTTTGGGCTGGTTTGCGCAAAATTTGTATTTATAGCATAGAATTATGCCTCTGCTAACTTGTCCTTCTCTCATACCATTTCACCACTGGCTTACTTCACTTCTGAGCCTCCCACTTGCATGCAGTGCATGCTGGGAAGACTGTGTTACCACACTGGAGTGCTTGTGGCCCTGGGTGGCTGGCCCCTCCTTCACTCTTCATCCTTGTCATATTTATTCAGATCTCTGCCTTCATGTACATTTGAACATGACATGCTAGGTCGACATATGTTGCATCAGTTAGCTCTTTTGTATGTAATGCTGTCATTTTCTTCATATTTTCAGTCTCCAACTTTTCATCAGACACTTCTCACTTGACTGAAACAAAACAGTCATTTCATTGCACATCACTGCAGTGCTGTTTCCTGCTGTCCATTAAGTCGTATGTTTGTTTTGCTCGGTCCGCCAAGGATTTTGTTTTCAATATGTCTTATCAAGTTGGAACTTTATTGCTATCAGTAATTTGATGCTTTTTTCTTTTTTGGTTCTATAAATACATATTGATGGTTGTTGAGAACATCATTGCATCTGTGCACAAGTCTGTGATGGACTAATCATGTGGAAAGGCTTTTTGGCACAGGGATTTGTTTAGGTGTGAAAGTAGGCACGGATTCAAAAGATGTATACAGAAATGAAATTAACTTTAAACTTTGTATTAAATAATGTTCTTTAAAAATGTCCTAATATTAATATTTAGATATATGGCCTATAGCCTGATAACTTTTTTTTCCTATGAAA